TAATTTTCATCGTAGAGATCTTTGACATCTTTGGTTAAATTCATTTCAGGGCATTATATTTTGTGTAGCTATTGTGAATGTGATTGATTTTTTCAGAGTTATTTATTTGAAAGATAGAGTTACAGAGGTAGAGAGGTAGAGGTAGAGAGGTAGAGGTAGAGAGAGAGAGAATTTTCCATCCAATGGAAAATTTGGTTCAGTCCCAAAAGGCCACGGTCAGAGCTGAGCTGATCTGCAGCTGGAAGCCAGGTGTCTCTGACGTGAGTTCAGGGGCTCAAACTTGTGTCATCCTTTGCTGCTCTCCCAGGCAATTAGAAGGGAGCTGGATCAGAAGTGGAGCAATGTGCACTTGAACCAGCACCCATATGGAATATTGGTGCTGCAGGCAAGGACCTTAACTCACTGTGCCACAGTGCAGCCCTATGGGATTGATCTTGGAAGTTCTTTCTCAGCCATGGAATTGTCTGTGTTTACAAAGGCTATTGATTTTTGTGTATTAATTTTATATCCTACCATTTTATCAAACTCTTTTATGAGTTCCAATACTCTTAATGGAGTCTTTTGGTTCCCCTATATAGAATATCATCTGCAAATAGGGATATTTTTACTTTTTAACTTCTATCCCTTTGATTTTTCTTTCTTGCCTAATTTCTGGCTAAAACTTCCAGGACTAATTGAATAACAATGGTGAGAGTGGGCACCCTTGTCTGCTTTCAGATTTTAGTGGGAATGATTCCAATTTTTTCCCTATCCTATAGGATGCTGGCTATGCATTTCTCATAGTCTTGATTGTGTTGAGGAATGTTCATTCTATACCCCATTTGCTTAGGGTTTTCATCATGAAAGGATGTTGTATTTTATCAAATGCTTTCTCTGCTTCTGTTGAGATAATCATATGGTTTTTGTTCTTTAGATTGTTAATGTGATGTATCACATTTACTGACTTGTGAATGTTGAACCGTGTTGGGTTTGGTTTTTTTTCTAGGTCCTTGAGATACATTGATAGCTCATTTATTTGATACCCTTCCAATTTCTTGATGTAGGCACCAATTGTTATACACTTCCCTGCTAACCTGCATTTGCTGTATAACTTAAGTTTTTTTAAAAATTTTTTTTGACAGGCAGAGTTAGACAGTGAGAGAGAGAGACAGAGAGAAAGGTCTTCCTTTTCCATTGGTTCACCCCGCAAAGTGGCCACTACAGCTGGAGCATTGTGGCTGGCATGCTGCACCGATCCAAACCCAGGAGCCAGGTGCTTCCTCCTGGTCTTCCATGCGGGTGCAGGGCCCAAGCATTTGGGCCATCCTCCACTGCACTCCAGGGCTACATCAGAGAGCTAGACTAGAAGAGGAGCAACTGGGACAGAATCTGGTGCCCTGACCGGGACTAGAACCCGGGGTGCTGATGCCACAGGCGGAGGATTAGCCTAGTGAGCCGTGGCACCAGCCCATAACTTAAGTTTTGATATGATGTATTGTCTTCTTCATTTCCAGAAATTTTTTGATTTAGCTTTTGATTTCTTCTATGACCTACTGTTCATTTAGAAGGATGTTGTTCAGTCTCCATGTGTTTGCATATGATCTAGAGATTCCTGAGTTGTCAATTTCTAGCTTCATTCCATTGTGGTCAGAGAAGATGCATGGTATGACTTAGATTTTTTTGAATTTGTTGAGTCTTGCTTTATGGCCTAGCATATGGTCTATCCTAAATAAAGTTCCATGCATTGGTAAGAATAGTGTGCATTCTGCAACTGTAGGATGAAAATTTCTGTAAATATCCATTAGGTCCATTTGGTCTATAGTGTCTATTAACTCTGTTGTTTCCTTGCTGATTTTCTGTCTGGTTGATCTGTCCATTGTTGAAAGTGGGTACTGAAGTCCCTGATTGCTATTGTACTGGAAATTACATCTCTCTTTAGATCAATTAACATTTGTTTTAAACATCCAGGTGCCCTTTAATTTGTTGCATATATATTTATTATAGTCATATCTTCCTGCTAAATTGATCCCTTAATCATTATCTAGTGCTTTTCTTTGTATCTTTTAACAGTTTCTGTTAAAAGTTTATTTATGTGTTAAAGTCTATTTTGTCTGATATTAGGATGGCTACACCTGCTCTTTTTTGCGTTCTGTTAGTATGGACTCTCTTTCTCCATCCTTTGACTTTCAGTCTGCGTGTATCTTTGTTGGTGAGATGTGTGTCATGTAGGCAGCAAATAGAGGGGTCTTGTTTTTCTTATTTACTTTTTTTGGTCTTGTTTATTAATCCATTCAGCCACTCTGTACCTTTTAACTGGAGAACTGAAGCCATTTACATTCAAGGTGACATTTGATAAGTATCTTGACCCTGCCATTTCCCAATAAATATTCCTATCATTTACTTTGGATTTCCTTTGTACTTTTACTGGGAGGTTTTCTGCCTTCACATTCCTTCATAGAGATGACCATGTTTCTTTGTGTAGCACATCCTTAAGCAACTTTTGTAGGCTGGATGAGTGGTGACAAATTTTTCAATTTCTGTTTGTTAAAGAAGGTCTTTATTTCATCTTCATTCATAAAAGAGAGCATTGCAGGGTACAATATTCTGGGTTAACAGTTTTTCTCTCTTAAGAGTTAGACTATGTCTCTCCATTCTCTCATAGCATGTAGAGTTTTTAATGAGAATTCAGCTGCGAGTCTAATTGGAGACCCTCTGAAAGTAATCTGGTGTTTCTCCTGTGCACATTTTAGAATACTTCCCTTATGTTTTACTGTGTAAAGTTTGACTACAATGTGTTGTGGCAAAGAAATTTTCTGGTCATGTCTATTGGGAGTTTTATGTGCTTCCTATATTTGGATGTCTTTTTCTCAAATTGGGGAAATTTTCTGTAATTATTTCACTAAATAGGTCTTCTAATCCATTCTCTCTTTCCTTGCTTTCAGGCCACTACAGCCGGTGCTACACCGATCAGAAGCCAGGATCCAGGTGCTTCCTCCGGGTCTCCCATATGGGTGCAGGCACCCAAGCACTTGGGCCATCCTCCATTGCCTTCCTGGACCACAGCAGAGAGCTGGACTGGAAGAGGAGCAACCAGGACTAGAATCCAGTGCCCAATGGGATGCCGGTGCCGCAGGCAGAGGATCAACCTAGTGAGCCATGGCACCGGCCCCTAATTTCTTCATTTTAAATAATTTTTTGCTCTGTCAAATTTTGAGAGATTTATATTCTATCCTGAGTAGCCTTTTTTTCTGCCTCACTGAATCTGTTGTTAAGGCTTTCCACCACATTTTTTAAATTTGATCTATTGAATTCTTCATTCTAATATTTTGTTTTGATTTCTCTTTAAAAACCTAAATTTCGTGGGAAAGCATTTTTATTCATGTCATGTATGAGTTTTTTTAATTTGTGGATTTGCTTGGTTACTTCTGAGTAATTCTATTTTTATTTTTTTGAATTTTATTTCCAGTATTTCATCAATCTCTTCACTTCACATTTTAGTATTGAAGTGTTGTGTTCCTTTGGGGGTGGTCATGTTGTCTTTTATTCTTGCTTTTTGAATTTGTTTATTTTATGCATTTGTGGGGATACTTTATTTATTTATTTATCTTTGGACTATGCCTCTTGGCCTGGTGGAGTGTTTATTCTTTCAGTGAATACCCAGAAGTATGTATTGGGTGTGGCCAGGGAGCTCTGTTCAGTGCTCCAGGGTGAGGAGAGCGTCCAAGGCAACACTCAAGTTGGGAGTGGTAAATCTTTTTTTTTTTTTTTATCAGATGGAGAGTTGAATCATATCTGTTGGCATTGTCTCACACTGACCTCCTCTCTTCCAAGGAGACCAATTCCCTGGGTACTAGCCCCAATGAATGCAATATTCATCTGTGCTGTCACAAGGACCACAGAAAAGATCTGTGAAGTCCTCAGTGTGAGCATAGATCCCATAGCAATGATCCTCTGAAGGCAATCAAGAGCCCTGAGTGTGTGGAGCTGCCCATAAGACTGCCCAGAAACCCAGCGATACCCTGAACCCTCTCACATCAGGTTTAGTGAAATAAGCTGGACACAGAAGGACAAATACCATGGGTTCTCCCTTATATGGAGGAACCAAAATTAAAAATAAATTAAAAAGAAAAAATAAATTTCTGTATGTATCAGTATTGTTGCAAACACAGTTTTGTAAAACTCTGCTTTATACCTTTGTCAAATCGATGATTATGAATGTTATACTACTATAATTTTAATGATCTATGACTACTTTAAAATTTACTCTATATGAGTGAAATGGTCATTTTCCATTGTTTGCCTGTTCACATGTTAATCATTTTGGCTGTATTATTTTACTGAAGTCTCCTAGAGTGAGAAGGCTCCAAAGCAGTTCCTCTGTTGAGGAGCCTTGGGTGTACACACAATCAGCTCTGAATGGCAGTGACTTCAGAATGTCTCTCAAGTGTCTCTTCCTCTAACTTCTTCATTTAGCTTCTTCTATTATACCAGAGATCAAAGAGTGTTCTAACTTTGCTACTCCAAGACTGAAACAGTGATATAATCTCGGAACTATATGACACATCTAAAGGACTCTTCTACAGTTCAGATATTATTACTATGCCTGACATTTAAAGTATAGTGGGAACAGGTCTAATGAAATAACTATTTTTCCTTTTTTCGTATCTGTCAGCCTGCCTGTGCTTTTGCAAACAAAGTAACTTTCTCTCTAATCTCAAAACAGAAGGGACTAGAATAGCATTGGACATACATGCCCCAGAGTATGTTCTAGGCTCACTCTACCATTTTATTTTATGAATTACTTTCCAAATAGATGAGTTTTAAGAGCAATGATATGTAGCCAACTTTCTATTTCAAGAAAATACCACATCTCAGGGTCTCCAACCTACAACCTACTGTTGATGGTCTTTGACTGTGTCAAAATAGCGCACAGATAGTGTTGTTATTAAAGATACATGTATAATTAAACTCCAAATTAGATTTCAAAATGAGAAATATTAGACTTGCAATTTCTTTCTTACCTGGGAGAAGTTTGGGTTGAGCCTTGAATTCACTCTTTAATAGTTGCTTTCCAAAAACATTTCTCAATTGTTCTGGATCAGTCTCTGTAGAAACAAATATGTTTCAAAACACTTTTTAAGGTAACCCTAACATAGGAATTTGAGAGGTATGCATGTGTTAACACATGTGCATGTGTGACCTAACTTAATTACCTTTTGTTATTAATTAAAAATAATATGAATATTATAGTTATTAAATCACTAAACATCAGAATTTAAAGATCTTTTAGTAATCACATGAGACTCAGTGAACTGAACCTTAGAGATATTTAGTGCTTTGACTAAGACATCCAGGTAATAATAAAATTATTGCACATACTGATGCCTCAGGATTCCTTAGCCATTGCTCTGCCCATACAATGCTATCTCTTTTGCAAAATAAAAATATCTTATATAGTTTATGATAACATGAATTTTAAGTTTACATTAAAATTACATTTATACTGTGCATATGTACCTGGTAATGTACAATATAGCATTTTATCAAAGGCCAACTTGAAAACCATGGTCTCCACAGTTAAATAAAGCACACAAATTCTTTAATCCAGGAATATTTATATCTCATTTTAGGTTATATAACTTTAAATAAAGAAGGTTTCAATGGAAAATAACAACAAGTTATCTGGTCTGTTTGTTTGAAAATTATTTTAATTTTTTAATAACATAATATTTATACAGTATAATATTTCAACACACATATACGGCATAGCAAAATAAAACTAAGCAACTAGCCTTTCCATTTCTTATCTTTTAGCATCTGTGGAGCCTTCAGTTCCTCAGACATCATATATATTATTGTGAAATATAGTAACTTCTTTTTTTATTTTTTATTTATTTATTTTTTATTTTTGACAGGCAGAGTGGACAGTGAGAGAGAGACAGAGAGAAAGGTCTTTGCCGTTGGTTCACCCTCCAATGGCCGCTGCGGCCGGCGCACCACGCTGATCCAAAGGCAGGAGCCAGGTGCTTCTCCTGGTCTCCATGCGGGTGCAGGGCCCAAAGACTTGGGCCATCCTCCACTGCACTCCTGGGCCATAGCAGAGAGCTGGCCTGGAAGAGGGGCAACGGGGACAGAATCCAGCGCCCCGACCGGGACTAGAACCCGGTGTGCCGGCGCCGCAAGGCAGAGGATTAGCCTATCGAGCCACGGCACCGGCCAATGAAATATAGTAACTTCACCATGCTGTGGGTCACTAAAGCTTACCTGCCTGTGCTTTGGTACCTGGTTACTAAGTTCCCTCTGTTCCTTCTCCCTCACCCTTCCCAGCCTCTAGTTATCACTATCCTAACCTCACATTGACTATTTTGTTAAACTTCCACAAATGAGAGTGAGCAGGTATGTTGTATTTGTCTATGTCTGGCTTATTTCACATACATAAAAGTTTCTGGTCCCATCCATTGTGCAGCAAATATCAGGATTTCATTCACTTTTATTGCTAAGGAATATTCCATTGTGTTCATATGCTACATTTTCCTTATCTGTTCACCCATCAATGAACATCATTGAGGTATCATCTCACTTTAGTTACTGTGGTTATTATAAAAATACAAAAATAATGCCAGTGTAGATATGAGAAAAGGATCCCCTTAAACACACTTGGTGGGAATACAAATTAGTACAGCTCCTATGGAGAACAAGATGGAGGCTCCTCAGAAAACTAATAGATCTACCATATGACCCAATGTTCTCACTTCTGGGTATGTGTCTAAAGGCAATGAAGTCAGCATATGAAGGAGATGCTTGTACTCCCAGGTTCACTGTAGCCCTATTCACTGAGATCAAGATATGAACCCCACCTAGCAAGATATCTTTGGACTGAGAATAAAGTGCCCTCTTAGGTCCCCTTAATATGTAGATCTCGTAACTGTCAGAAGGATGTCCTGAAATTTGAGTGTATCAGGAGTGAGACTGAGGTCGGCGCCGCAGCTCGCTAGGCTAATCCTCCGCCTAGCGGCGCTGGCACACTGGGTTCTAGTCCCGGTCAGGGCGCCGGATTCTATCCCGGTTGCCCCTCTTCCAGGCCAGCTCTCTGCTGTGGCCAGGGAGTGCAGTGGAGGATGGCCCAAGTGCTTGGGCCCTGCACCCCATGGGAGACCAGGAGAAGCACCTGGCTCCTGCCTTCGGATAAGTGCGGTGCACCGGCCACAGCACACCAGCCGTGGCAGCCATTGGAGGGTGAACCAACGGCAAAAGGAAGACCTTTCTCTCTCTCTCTCTCTCTCTCTCTCACTATCTACTCTGCCTGTAAAAAAAAAAAAAAAAAGGAATGAGACTGAGATCCTGTATCTGCTAGAATCTGTTGGAGCTGGAAATCTGTTGTGACAGGATTGTAGACAGTGTAGACTGAAATCTGGTTTGTTGGAGAAATGGCTGACTCTGAGTAAGTGTGAAGGGTTGCTCTACAGCCATGGCAGCAAATATACACCACTACTGTGGTCTCTAGCGAGGCAGGGACCTGCTGAGCACCAATCCAAAGTGAACAAAGATGCATCTGATTGGGCAGAACACATTTTTGATATGAAAGAAACAGCATTTTCTGAACACAGTAAGATCTGAGCAACAAAAATGTAGGTAACATTACTAAACATATTTTAGCCTCTCTGCTACCTTTGCCAATTGGTATATATAAGAAAGACTGATTCACTTGAAATTAGCATTTAAATATTCTTATTTTTATATGCTTATTTCATATTTAAGCATATTCCTTAAGGAGTTCTAGAATAAATCCCTTACATATATGAAGGATTACTGTATTTATATTTCTCTATTCTTGGAAACATACCCCCTGATACACACAGCGCATGGCCCATGGGGATTTCAAATTCATGAGGAATTGAATTAAATGATAATGTGTATTTTTCATGAACTTCTAGAAGACACCTTACATATAGATATTTCATTGTGATACTTCTGGTCATTTACCGAGGAAAGAGCTAGAAGAAGTAAGGGGTAAAGGCAGAGACCACTACTCAGAAAATAGGAATTATCACACTTTGGTTCTTAATTTGAATTTTATAGGTTCTTAATTCACGAATATAGTGAATGATTCCACCTTCTATTCTTCTAGGAAGAATTACATGACCCATAAGGAAGTGAAAAATTTGAAAATTTGTACATGAATTTTTTTAGCAGGATTATACATAAGAACCAAAAAATGGAAGTGATCCAAATGAACATCAATATAGTATTATCAACACAATGGGATAAATATAGCAATAAAAGTAATTATTGATATTTGCTACAGCATGGATGGCCTTAAAAAAACATTACACTAAGTGAAAGAAGCCAGGCATAAAAGACAGTATGGGCAACCTAGAGACACAAAATACATTAGTGGTTGCCTGGAGGTGCAGATCTGGAGAGCTAGTGGCTCCTCTACAGGCAAGGTCCCTGGAATGGTTGGTGGCAAGGTAGTGAACACTTGGGTATAAAGACCATGGTTGGCCTGTTGGCCTCAGGGTACAGGGGTTCAGAGCAGCTCAGCTCAGGGTATTTAGGCCATTTACATTTAATGTTGTTATCCACATAGTTGTGTTGATAGCTACTGTATTGCTATCATTTGTCTCATCTGCCCTTTGTTTCCTTTTTTCTCCATGATAGCTTTTTCTTTTTTTTTTAAACTTTCATTTAATGAATATAAATTTCCAAAGTACAGCTTATGGATTACAATGGCTTCCCCCCCATAACTTCCCTCCCACCCACAACCCTCCCTTCTCCTGCTCCCTCTCCCCTTCTGTTCACATCAAGATTCATTTTCAATTATCTTTATATACAGAAGATCAATTTAGCATATATTAAGTAAAGCTTTTAACAGTTTGCACCCACACAGAAACACAAAGTGTAACATACTGTTTGAGTTCTAGTTATAGCATTAAATCACAAAATACAGCACATTTAGGACAGAGATCCTACATGAGGAATAAATGCACAGTGACTGCTGTTGTTGACTTAACAAATTGACACTCTTGTTTATGGCATAATTTTTTACTTTTAGTTTTTAATTTTTTAACAGACTCAATATAGTTCATAGTTAAAATTTTAAGAATAAAATTATTTGCCAACTTCTCCTCTCCCACCCCTACCCTCCTTTCCTTTCTTTCTCTTCCTTCCTTCCTTCCTTTCTCCCTCCCTCCCTCCTTCCTTCTACCCCTCCCTCCTGCCCTCCTTCCCCCTCCTCCCCTTCCCTCCCCTCCTCTTCTCTCCCCTCCCCTCCCCTTCCCTTTCCTTCCATTCCCTAACTTCCCTCCCTCCCTCCCTTCCTTCCTTTTTTGCCTGTTAACTCTTTATTTGGTAAAGAAAGGCAGCTTTATTTTGTATTAATTGACGATCATTTTATCTATACTATTATACTATTAGATTATTAGCTGAAACCATGTTATACTTTTAAGAGATGTACTAGGATTTATGGTATGCTTTTGTTAATCAAGACTTTCCTCAGATAATATTCCAGTTCTTCACATTTTACTATTTCTCTGTAGAATTTATAGTGATTTCCATTTTCCTTTTTAATCTGCTCCATTTTGATTAGTTTTTGTATATGGTTTGGATAATGATCCAACTTCATTCTTTTAATAGAAGCATCCATTCAACCATTCGATGAAAATAGTCTATCATTGAATGGTTTCAGTATCATTGCTGAAAATTACTTGTCTATAAGACAAGGATTTATTTTTAGCCTCTACATTCTATCCTATTGGTCTGTGTATCTGTTCCTAAGCTACTATATTACTATTTTGATTACTGTAACTCTGTAGTATGTTTATTGAATCCAGGAAGTGTGAGACCCACAACTTAGTCCTACAAGATTGTTTTGAATATCCATGGTCCCTTAAAATTCCATATAAATGTTAATATGTGCTTTCCTATTTCTGAAAAGAGCTATTAGGAGTTTGATAAGAACTGCATTGAATCATGTGAATCACTTTGGGTAGTTTTCCATGTTAACAATATTAAGTCTTCTGATGCATGACTATGAATATATATATATTGAAATAATCACACTCTTCCCCAGAAACACGTACAATTACTACATGTTGATCAAAATTAGTTTTCAACAGTTAAGGGTAATGGAAATGCTAATCACTCTGAAGTGATCAATTTGCACTGAATGTATAAGTTGAAGTATTATACCCCACAAAATTATACAATGAACATAAAAGGTAACATTCATAATAAAATTATGTTCTCAACAAATTGATCAGATAGTATTTACCTTATATTGTGAAAGCTTTCAATGTATGGAAGAGCCTTTATATTTTTGCTTCATGAGTAGGTAAAGGAAAATACATGAACAATTATGTAACTAATGTTACTTGTTGGAGTGAAGAGCATGTTCCCTAAAAATACATACTTAATGCAGATTGAATAAAATTATTATTTTATTTTAATTTCCTGTTATATTATTGTAGATTTTTAAAACAAAACTATACAGTAGAAATATTTTACATTCTACAGTATTCAAACATAAACCTGTACTTACCAATCACTTTGTCTAAGCCTAAATGAAGTATCAGGTCACCTATGGATGCACTGGGTGGTGGAAGATGCTTTGCTGAATCTGGAAATTCTGAGGCTGTTTCATCTTTAGCTGAAATATTGATAGATTGTCGGATTAGTTTATTTTAAGATAACATTTTGAGTTAAAATTACACTAAATGAGTTAGAGATATTTTATGTTAAAATTATTTAATCTTATTTACTTTGCAGTATAACATACTAATCATTCAGTGTAATATAAATATGTAAACTAAATTTTAAAGGCTTATGAAATAGCTATTATACTATGCATTGTTTCTAACTATTTTCTTTAATTCTTAGAAGAATTCAAATAAATACATATTTTATCCCCATTTATCAGATGAGGAGGGTAGAATTAGGGATATCACACATGTTGTGAAAGGTCTTAGGTTTTTATATGAAAATCTTGGAATAAGCTGGTTCTTTTAGATTCCAAAACCTATTCTCCAGCTAACAAATTCAAATATCTACTGGGAATGAGCACGATTACACGTGAGTGAGGAAACTAATCTGGCAATATTGGGACGGCATGAAGAGCAGAGGTAAGTGGAGAGTACCCGTTTCATATAGAGATGTTATGCTCACTGACTGATACAGATGCAGGACAGATCTTTTCAAAGAAGCTACAAATCCATATATTTATAAGATATTTCAAGTTTTTAAAATGTTTTCAAGTAATTTAAAAGCTTTAAATATTTGAAGTGCAAAACAAATAATCAGATAGTTCCACAAGAGAACTATCTTTAGGAGAGGATTAATCACAATATATGGGAAGCATATGAGATCCAGTCAGCTGTGTATTTCTTAGGAAAACATCATTACTTACCAGGCAACCAATGTATCTATTTACCCTCTAGACACAGGGAAGAGAAATGTGGCTCACATTGTGCACATACCTCTCCCTCAGCAAGTCACATTTTAAAAGATTTATTTATTTGAAAGGCTGAATTAGAGAGGGAGAGACAGATAAAGGAGATTTTCCATCCACTGTTTCACTCCCCAAATGGCCTCAACAGCCAGGACTGGGGTGGGGGCAGACCAAAGCTAGGGGTCTGGAACTCCATCTGGGTCTCCCATGTTGGGGGCAGGGGCCCAGGCACTTGGGCCATCTTCTGCTACTTTCTCAGGCACATTGGCAGAGCAGCTGGGACTGGAACTGTTGCTCATATGAGATGCTGGCATCACAGGCAGAGGTCTAATCTGCTGTGACACACACTGGCCCCATCAAGTCACTTGTGAGGTCTAGCATTATGTGTCTTCAAGACAGGTGGTTGATGTAGATATTTAAACTGTGTTCCGGGGGCTGGAGCTGTTGCATAGCAGGTAAAGTCAATGCCTGCAGTGCTAGAATCCCATATGGGCGACAGTTCGTGTCCTGGCTGCTCCACTTTTGATCTAGCTCTCTGCTATGGCATGGGAAAGCAGCAGAGGATGGTCCAAGCCCTTGGGCCCCTGTACTCACGTGGGAGACCTGGAAGAAGCTCCTAGCTCCTGGCTTCGGATCAGGCCATAGAGGACATTTGGGGAGTGAACTAGTGGGTGGAAGATCTCTCTTTCTCGGTCTCTCTGTCTTTCAAATAAATAAATAAATGGTTTTTTTTTTTTTTTTTTAAAAAAACTGTGTTCCTAATTATTCTCCAACACAAAGTTACAGAGTCACAAAGTAAGCTTGAAAAATTCCTGGGTATTTCAATTCCATGGGAAGATGGCAGAATGTAGCCTGTCCTCCTCTTCTGTGAAACCAGGACATAAAAGAAAGGAAAGAGGAAACTTACATAACCTCCCCAACCTCAAACCACGGTTATGAAATCCTGAGTAAGATGCTGGGAAATCCTGGGTAATATGAACTGTGCTATCCTAGGCCCACAGTAGTATGCATATTTTCACCCCAAAACGCATGCTTTGATAATGTTGACCACACTTTGGTTAAAGAATAAGTGAACAAGAAGCCACATTTATGAACCACTTGTATCACTTGGGTTACAGATGTATAACAGAAGCTCATACTGATAGGAAAATGGATAGAAAAGAAGAAGCAAATTGTGCCAGATTACAACAGAGGACATGTCTGTGAGCCACAATGACTCCTCAAACACCAGACTCCGATTCCCTCCACATCCTTGCCATGATTGGATAACAGACATTCTGACATGGGTGAAGTGATATCTGTGGTAATGCTGATTTGCTTTTTCCCATGGACAGTGACATTGAGCACTTCTTAATGTATTTGTTGGCCATTTGTATTTCTTCTTTTGGAAACAGTCTATCCATGTCATTTCGTAAGTGGATTAGTTGGTTTTGGTTGTTGTTGAATTTCTGAGTTGCTGGTATTTTATGGAAAATAGTCCTTTGTCAGATAAGTAGCTTACAAAATGTCCTCCAATTCTGTCAGAAGTCTCTTCACTCTACTGACTGCTTCTTTGCTTTGCAGAAGTTTCTGAGTTTGATATCATTCCTTTGTCTAAGTTTTGCTTTTGTTGCCTATACTTTGAGAGTTTTAGTCAAGAAGTGATCATTCACACCAAAGTCATGAAATGTTTGATACATTTTATTCTATAACTTTCATAATCTCAGGTTTTGAATTTAGGTCTTTGATCCATCCTGAGTTCATTTTTGTGTATAGTGAGAGGTAGGGAGCTAATTTCATATTTTTACATATATATATATATGTCAAATCTATCTATCTATCTATCTATCTATCTATCTATCTATCTATCTATCTCATTTTACCAGCACCATTTGTTGAAAACACTATCTTTTCTCCAATGTATGTCCTGGGAACTTTCATCAAAAATCAGTTGACTGCCTATATATGGATTGATTTCTTGTCTCTATTTTCCATGAATCTAGGTGCTGGTTTTTGTGCCAATATTATATTGTTTTAATAACTTTGGCTCTGCCATATGCTTTGAAGTAGAGTTTTGTGATGCCTTTAGCTTCACTTTATTTTAGATCAGGATCACTTTGGCTACTCTGGGTCTTTTGTTATATCACATAAATTTAAAATTTTTTTCCTAATTCTGTGAAGAATGTCATTGATATTTTGATAGGGATTGCACAAAATTTGTAGATTACTTTAAATTGTATAGATATTTTAATGATATTAATTCTTCCAGTCCATAAGCAAGGTATACCTTTATATTTACATACTACTACACATGGGATGCCGGTGCCCCAGGCAGAGGCTTAGCCTACTGCACCACAGCACTGGCCCCAAGACTTAATTTGTTACCTAAGATGTTACTATCCTTTTCTGTGTGCACTTGTGAAGGATGTGTATTCTCTTGTTGAGTGAATGCTCTGTAGATGTCTATTAAGTCTGCAGTGCTGTTCAAGTCCACTGTTCACTGATTTTTTATTTGGTATGATTACATTAAAAGTGGAATCCTGAAGGATGTAGCTATTATTATATTGCTATCAGTTCTCCTTTCATTTCTGTGCTTTAGATACTCAGCTGTTATGAAACTGAATGCAGATATATGTATATAATTTATCTTCTGACTGAACTGAGCCTTTTATAATTATGACTTGTTTTGACTATAGTGACTGTTTGGATTTAAATTCTACTTTCATCTGTTGGGGCCTGGTTTCTAAGGTTCAAATTGGGAAACTAGGAAAAGGACAGGTGATGTAAGACACACCATTCCCTTCTTTACCAGCCCATCCAGATCCTATGTCCCCATATTGCTCTATTGTGTCCACATTGTATGCAGTACCCTTCCCTCTCCTGAAAATTCAACCTGTATAGTACTTATTTGTTCTTTATTTTTTGTGTATCTGTGATTTAATTAGGTTCTTGGAAAGACATCTAGAGAACAATTTTTTGAGGATAAATTCTATTTTAGATCACAGGTAGGCCTGGGGCTGAGGAACAGCTTTGTGTTTTGGTTTGAAAGTCCACAGTTTTCTGATCAACCTTATGCTTCTCTGTAATCTTGTATTTCTTTTTCTCCAAGTAAAAGATCTCACCTTCCTGGTGTCTGGATTTCCACAGCTTCTTGAAATATGCACCAGTGAGATTTTTTTTTTTGACAGGCAGAGTGGATAGTGAGAGAGAGAGACAGAGAGAAAGGTCTTCCTTCCATTGGTTCACCCCCTAAATGGCTTCTATGGCCGGCGCGCTGCGCCGATCCGAAGCCAGGAGCCAGGTGCTTCTCCTGGTCTCCCATGGGGTGCAGGACCCAAGGACTTGGGCCATCCTCCACTGCCTTCCCGGGCCACAGCAGAGAGCTGGACAGGAAGAGGGGCAACTGGGACAAAATCCGGCACCCCAACCAGGACTAGAATCCCGTGTGCCCGCGCCACAAAGCGGAGGATTAGCCTAGTGAGCCACGGCGCCGGCCGCTACTGTTTTTAACCTTGCCACTGGCATTATCTTTCCTGACTTCATCCATCATCGTGCAAAATGAGAAAGATATCCTTCACCTTTGCATTCCTGTTTGTGGAGAAGCACAACTGACACCTCTACCAGCCATCTTGCTTGGACTCTCTCAGTGAGAGGGACAGGGAGAGAGGGGGAGAGGGGGAGAGGGGGAGAGGGGGAGAGGGGGAGAGGGGGAGAGGGGGAGGTTTGTTCTTGCTGCCATTGCAAAGTAACTTAGCCTAGATAACTCATAAACAGCAGAAATTTACTTCTCACAGTCCTGGAAGCTGGGAAGTTCAAGATCAAATGCCAGCAATTTCAGCATCTAGTAATGGCTTGGTCCACATAAATGGCCCTTGCACTGGTCTTCACAGGACAGAAGAGCAAAAAGTACCAGGGCACCCCAACAGCTCTTATACAGGGCACTAATACTTTCCATTAAGGATGGTGGCCTCATGACTCATGACATAGCTATTTCCCAAAGGCCCTGCCTCTTAATATCATACTGGATATTAAGCTCCAACATACAAATTTTGGGGACATACACATTCAGATTACAGCAACAGGTAAAACAACACTTGATAAGAACTGAAATTTGAATGCTAGGTGAGTGTCATGCTTTTAAAAATGAATTGATTTTTAAGAATATAATTTTTGTAAGCTTCTTATGCCCATGTTGATTATATGATGGTTCAAAGGGTCATGCCATGCTACCTTTAATGTAATATCAGTAATAAAACCCCAGCTTTCATGAAAAATATGATATACACATAAAATTACTAGGAAATTATTTCTTAATCTTTTACTCCCTGAAATATTACTATATGAAACAAAGACAAGATTCCTCAAATACAATTAAGAAATAAAGTAAAATATAGTGCTAATAGTATTCTCTGGAATTCCAATTCTTAATAAAATATCTTTTAAAATTTTCAGCCTAATAAGTAAATTAAACTATAAAGCCATAAATCAATAAAAAACACTATAAAGCTGATCCACATTTAAAACATCTTAAAATAATTGTGCTTTATGATTATTTTAAAATATTTATGTCAATAAAACACATACTTAGAAATCTTTGTGGTTGTTTAACATCACTTCTATGAAATTGATCCATGGGTCCTAGAGCTGATTCTAGATCTTGAAGAGAAAAACCCTCTTCTGGGAGTTTATCCATATCCTGACCTACCAAAATGGAAAAAAAAAACTTTTAGTAAATTAAATTGAGAAACACTATAGAAATATTTCCATTATGAGCTAACCTTAAGAAGATAATATTGTCTGAAATATAAAAATGTTAATATATCATTATGTCAAGTAAGAAGAAAATAATTATTTCAATAAATGCCAGAAGTCAATCTGACAGATTCAGATCTTTCATATGAAACTCCGAAAAATTAGAATTACAAATTCACTCCTTAAAGACTGAATACATTTCTACTTCAATTCTAGTAGAGCACCAAAAATTTCTATTGATATTTTGAACAAAGTAACAATGTGAATCATTATTATTTTTATCAATTACTTTCTTTTTGTAAAGTTGGTATTATGAAGCAGACATATAATACAGTAGAAATTATGACAAAACATACATATTTGTCAGTATTGTTTTGTCATTTAGATTTTAATTATAAAATAAAAGAAAAAATTTAAAGATATCTTAACCAATGGGACTATATATTTTCACTGTCACTGTACCACAGACATATTTTAACTTGATGGATCAATAATTTAATTTTTAAGATTTATTTATTTGAACGAGTTACAGAGAGAGAGAGGAGAGAGAAAGAGAAAGAGAGAGAACAAACCCAGAACCAGTTTCTATTAATTGCTCTGATTTACTTTTTATTTTGAAGATGTATTTTTTATTTATTTGAAATCCAGAGTCACAGAGACAGAAGGAAAGACAGAGAGATCTTCTGTCCACTGATTCACTCCCCAGATGGCCACAAGAGCCAGGGCTGTGCCAGGCTGAAACAAGGAGACAGGAGCTTCTTCTTGGTCTTCCACATGGGTGCAGAGGTCCAAGCACTTGGGCCAAATTCCACTGCTTTCCCAGGCACATTAGCAGGGAGCTGGATCAGAAATGGAGCAGCCTAGATTTGAACTGGTTCCCATATAGGGTGCCAGCATTGCAGGCAGCAGCTTTACCTGTTCTGCCACAACGCCAGTCCCTGATCAATGCTTTCAAAATTTATATAGCTATCTAAAAAACACTTACCTATTATATAGTACCCACTACAGGTAACACTGAGGTCTGTTTCCTCACAAGCTTCCCAATTGATATTATAAATCTTTATATTGGATATTTTAGCAATTGTTTTAATTAAATTATTTTATTAATATAATTTACATGATTAATAATAGTTATGCATTTTTACATTGGAAAAGTTCGTTTATCTAATTTTTATAACCTTTTTTATTCGGGAACCATCTAGGGGAGGATAAACATGGCCAAATAGAGAGGGCCTTCACTTGCCTCTGTCACAGAAAAATGCAAGGACCACGTTTCCAGGAGATTGAGGAAAAACTTCCATAAGGAAGTGATGAGAGGGCTGGTGCTGTGGCATAGCAGGTAAAACTGCTGCCTGCAGTGCCGCTATCCCATAAGGGTGCCATTTTGAGTCCTGGCTGCTCCACTTCCAATCCAGCTCTCTGCTGTGGCCTGGGAAAGTAGCAGAATATGGCCCAACTCCTTGGGCCCATGCATCCACATGGGAGACACGGAAGGAGCTCCTGGCTCCTGGCTTCAAACTGGTGCAGCTCTGGCCATTGTGGTCATTTGGGGAGTGAACCAGCAGATGGAAGACCTTCCCCCGCCCCCACCCCCTGCCGCCTCTCTGTAACCCTGCCTTTCAAATAGATAAATACATCTTTAAAAAAAAGAAGTGATGGGAATGGCAAATGGTAGAGACTGAAACCTAGCAGAGAGGAACAAAGCTCCTATTCCCGGCTCACCAGCAGTGGGCGTGCCATCTTGCTGAGAACAGGTAAGCAGAGAGAGCAACCCCACCATTGCTGCAGATTGGCAGCCCTGACTAGAGCAGGTTTTCACAGTCCTCATTGACTCCAAATCCAGTCTAGAAAGACGGGGTCATCACGACTACTATGCTCCTCTAAAGGAATACATGTTACTCCTCTAGCTCCAAAGCACCAGGCCTGAGCTGCTGTGGTATGGTCCTACTTCTGATCTGCACTCTGTCTTAGACGATAGCAAGCAGCACTGTGACTGTGGCTACCCGAAACCCCAGAGCCAGCATAAGGGCATTTTCCTGGGCAGACAGCAGAACCCGCGCATGCTGCAGCCTCAGGCTTTCTGAGCACAGGCCCTGGAGCAACACTGTTCCCTCTGTGCATTCAAGGGATGCTCCTCTCAGCCTCACGGGGCTCAGCACCAGCAGCAGCCCATAAAGAAGCCCAGAGGACAGGCCTGAGGAGGGCAGTTCCTGCATCTCACAGAGGGTGCTGGGTAGCCAGGGCACCAGCCTCGGGGGCAGTGAGCGGGGGCAGTATCCTTGTGCCCTGCTGCTCTGGGACTGGTACTTCTGATGCCACAATCCCTGGCATAATTCACGCGCACCTGCGGGATCTGGAGGGTCCCACCTGCATTCCTATGCTCACAGAGTAAATGAAGCTTAGCCTGTGAGTCTGGGTAAGGACCTCACACATCCTGCCTGAGCTCCAGGACTGTTACTATCAGCACCATGTTCCTGAGTCTCCAGAACCTACCCTGTGGGAATTAGCAAGGAACCCGCCGCGTCCCATGGCTCCATGTCCCCATATGCCATAGTCCACAGCATCACCTGTATTTACCGAGGACCATGGGCAAGGACTCCTGCACATCATCCAGGGGTGAGATTAGGGCTTTTGGAGCCCCAGGCTCTACTATCAGTGAACAGCCCCCACCTCCCCAGGGGTCCCATCAATGTCACTCAGTGCAGGAGCTGCCATATTGTACATACCAAGTGCTTCCAACTGGACAATTTGGGTTTCATTAACTTGATGATGATCTTTTGACTTTGAGTCTGCTGGAAACAGATGTTTATCCGTCTTCTGAACCACCCTCTGACCTACAAAACAGATATTGGAAATACACTGAAGAGAGCCATCCATTTACTCTAACAGCATATTCAAACACAGTGACATATTTCTTCATTTTATTAAATGTTGGTAATTGTCAAAATGTATGTGCATTTCTATACCACCTTCAATTAAGTTCTTACAAATTTTAACAAAATTAGCATTCCTGAACAAATCACTGAAGTAGAGAAAAGCTGGTATCTTCATGCAACTCAAAAACCTTAGGTAAAAATTATATGATAACAAAAACAGGACATTAAAGACATGAGTCTGAGGCCAAAGTAGGTGTAAAAGAGCTAATTCTTAAGGGAAAAGCTAGATATTTGGATATTTCAGAGTCTATGGTTACAGATATTTAACATTTATGTTTTTGAAATAATCACTTATTATTGTACACACCTACTAATAACAGAGAACCATACTCTTCTCCAATCTCTTTCTTTTGCATATTTTTATATTAGTTTGCTTATCCTTTCTGAGTATATCTTATATATTACTCCTTTATTTGGTACTATCTTTCAATCACAGTAAGGGGGAATCAGAAATAGAGCAGTGAAGAGAAATTCGTGCACACAGAACTCTGGGAGGAGCATCTAGGGCCCCACTGTAGGCGGAACTGGAGATAGTCTGAGGTTTAGATCTCCTTTGACTTGTGGCCAGGTGGTTACGGGCTTCTAAGAGAGAATACTGAAAAAGGATGATGAGGAAGCCATGGGAATTTTTGCTATGACTTCCTAGGAAAGGATGAGAGGGTATGAAGTTATTTATGTCCCAGGTAACTGTGCACAAGGCAACATCAACTCTGGGTAAGCTATCAACTAGATGGCCTATCTATGAATGTCAGTCACACTCTTGGACTAGCTACACTGGTGCTTATTTCATGGACATACATACTAAGAGGCCATAGCAGCAGCAGCTTTGGAATAGGTTTATGATACATATAGTTATTCTGATAGGGAATGAGCCTGGGTATTGCCACTACTGAGTGCTCAATTTGGCAAAATTTTAGGCCAAAACTGAGTCCCCAGTAGAGTATCATTTTCCTGTGGGATGAGCAAACCACCCACAGGCATATGTACTGCAGTAAACTTTATATCTTAGAAAGGGCAGTAATATGCCCTCAATGGGCTAAGTATTTATTTTGGTTACTAATTTAAATTCCCTTGTTCATAACTTCTAAGAATTTCTTTTCCACTGTCATAGTGCCAATACATTATATCCAACCACGTATTTTATATGCAAGCAATGTATCACAAGGAGCTCCTGCCCATAAAATTTACTGGCATTGCTACAACCCCATAACCCTGAAGAACCAAGTCTGATGGAACAGTGAATGGCTGGGTGAAGTTTCAGTTAATTTGACATATGAAAGCCAACACCTAGAGGGACTACTATGTAGATATACACAGGATATAAAACATTCCTCAAGTCAGACGTCAGCATATGGTCCTCTCACTCGAAGCCTAACAACTCCATGTCTCCATATACCATACATTTAATAATCGATTTACAGAATTTTTGCTTTGTTTTCCAAAGCCCTTAATTAAGTAGACTATAAAGGTATTTGTTCCCAAGGGAAGAAAAATGTACTCTCCAGAGGAGTAGTCACATTTCCAATAGATAGGTAAAAAGAGTTCATTTGCCATTTGGGGCTTCCATGCAATTAAATCAGTAGGCATAGACAGAAGTTTCAATACTGGTCACAGAATTAATCCCATTTATCAGGGGGTAACGGAATTGTTCCTAATTAATGGAGAACAAGTTGGATCCCAGGGGTTTCACTAGATCACTCTGTAATTCTTTCCTGCTCAAAAGTCATGAAATAAAAATCAGAGACAATCTAATAAGATAAAGCCACTAAGGTGTCTTTCATCAAAGGAATAAAGATTTGTGATACTTCACCAGGTGAAAAATCCTGTATTTACTAAGGAGGTGGCAAAGATCAATGAGAATGAGAACACAGAAGGGTGTTGGAGGAGGGCAGCTATAACATGCATACAAGGGCAACCGTGGTAATAATTTCTGCTCATTTTTTTTTACAACGCCTGCATCCTCTGCCACTTTATACAAAGAATATTGGTGATGAGAAGTGTTCTGGATTACAGACAGAATTAAGACAAATAGATACTACCTGGAAATTCTATGGATTCTGATAAGACACATTCTGATCATCAGTGAAGAACAAGGTGAGGATGCTAAGGGCATAAAGAGCTAGACTGAGAAGGACCTTCCTTTCCCTCCAAATTGGCTAATTTCCTTCTTTTTGTAAAGAATCACTTTATAAAACTCCTTAAATACCTCAATTTCTGCTATCTCTTTTCCAGCTAGATCTTGACTTATACACCGCCAGAAGCAGAATGGATAAGCAGTGGTTAATTCATAAACAAATTATTATTTAAAGCCTGGCACTCTGGTATAGTGGGTTAAGCTACCATCTGCAGTGCTGGCATCACATATGGGTGCCAGTTGGAGTTCCGGTTGCTCAATTTCCAATACAGCTTCCTGCTAATGCACCTGGGAAAGCAGAGGAGGATGGCCCTAGTGCTTGAGCCCCTACACACACGTGGCCAACTCAGATGAAGCTCCCAGCTCCTGGCTTTGGCCTGGCCCAGCACCGGCTGTTGTTGTCATTTGGGGAGTGAACCAAAGGATAGAAGATCTTTCTCTCTTCCTCTGTCTCTGTAACTCTGACATTCAAATAATAAATAAATATTTTTTAAAAAGTGTTATTTAACAATGAAAATAAATAAAATCTAGTCACATGCAAAAACATGACATTAAACTTTAAAACACAAGTTGACAAAGAATATTTAACCATTATGTATTGATAAAATTTTAAGAACTACATTGTTTATGGATACATACTAAAACTATTAGATTGAACCACATGAACCTCTCAGTTTTATAGGCTGAAATATTGATAATTTCCTATGGTTTTAAGTAAAATAAAGGATAACACGGTAACTATTACCTTAACATTAATATAGTGATTGCTACTGTGGGGGTGCAAGGCAACACTGACAGATGTTGGAGACCTTAAATGAGAGCAGGACTCTGTTTTTTGACTTACACAGTGGTCACCCTATGTTAGCTTAGACAATTATTTGTCAAAGTTTACACTGAACTCTTATAAAATTTACTAAATTACATTTCAAAATAAAAGTTGTTTAAAAGTGAATTAAATGTATTTTAACAGCTTTTGCTCTTAAAAACTTTTGTTTTGGCATCTCATTTAATATATCATTAAATATTTCAATTTACAAGAGATATTTTAGTTCACTACAAAAGCAAAATAGTGTATACAAGCTTCACAATGGTAAAGCAATATTTTATTTACTTTTTGTAAGGCAATATGCACATGTTCAGAGTATGGTAGCAGTGAGTTATTAATACAGAGTATTCAGTTAAAATATAAAGAGAATAGAGTGGAAAGTGGGATGTGAGAAGATTGATCCATGGGTACTAGGTTATAGCCAAGTAGAGAAACAAATTCTGGTATTTAATGCATAGAGCTATGATCATAGATAGTGATTGTGTGATGCAAAGAGCTAGAAGAAAGGATTTTGACCATTTCACCACAAAGAACTGATGTCTGAAGAGACATAGCCTTATCCAGATTAAACACTGCATGATGTATAATTGGATTGAAATATCAAATGGTCTTACATAAATACGTACAATTTGTATCAAAATAAAATTTAAACATATGTAGAAAATATTACCTCAGAACAAGTGTAAGAATTTATTTCATAGATAATTTAGTTATTAAATATATTTGAATTTATTATCCAATTTTATTTTTGTTCAAGTTAAATACTTTCTTGTGTTAACATTTTTAATTTATAGTAAAAGGCTTAATATTATTTAATTCTCTTACGGTATACAAATGTTACATAAAACTTATTTATTTATTTATTTTTGACAGGCAGAGTGGATAGTGAGAGAGAGAGACAGAGAGAAAGGTCTTCCTTTGCCATTGGTTCACCCTCCAATGGCTGCCACGGCTGGCACGCTGCGGCCGGAGCACCGCGCTGATCCGAAGCCAGGAGCCAGGTGCTTCTCCTGATCTCCCATGGGGTGCAGGGCCCAAGCACTTGGGCCATCCTCCATTGTACTTCCGGGCTGCTGGCCTGGAAGAGGGGCAACCGGGACAGAATCTGGCGCCCTGACCGGGACTAGAACCAGGTGTGCTGGCGCCGCTAGGTGCTAGGTGGAGTATTAGCCTATTGAGCCACGGTGCCGGCCATAAAACTTTTTTTAAAACAGAATTTTCATTTTTTAAAAAAGATTATTTGTGGTCAGCGCTGCGGCTCACTTGGCTAATTGCACCCCAGGTTCTAGTCCTGGTTGGGGTGCCGGATTCTGACCTGGTTGCTCCTCTTTCAGTACAACTCTCTGCTGTGGCCTGGAAGTGCAGTGGAGGATGGCCCAGGTCCTTGGGCCCTGCACCTGCAAGGGAGACCAGGTGGAAGCACCTGGCTTCTGGCTTCGGATCGGCACAGCGCGCCGGTCACAACACATCGGTCATAGCAGCCACTTGGGGGGTGAACCAATGGAAAAAGGAAGATCTTTCTCTCTGTCCCTGTCTCTCTCACTGTCTAACTCTGCCTGTCAAAAAAAATTAAAAAAAATTTTAAAAAAGATTATTTGAAAGGCAGAATTATAGAGAGGCAGAGAGGCAGAGAGGCAGAAAGAAAGAAAGAAAGAAAGAAAGAAAGAAGAAAGAAAGAAAGAAAGGAAGGAAGGAAGAAAGGGGGGAGGGGGAGGGAGGGAGTTATGTATGTCTTTCACCCACTGGTTCACTTCCCAGATGGCCACAATGGCTGGAGCTAGGCTAATCTGAAGCCAGGAGCCTGGAGTTTCTTCTGGGTCTCCCATGTGGGTGCAGGGCCCAAGGACTTGGGCGATCTTCTACTGCTTTCTGGGGCCATTGCAGAGAGCTGGATCAGAAGTAGAGCCATTGGGACTCAAACTGGTATTCATATGGGAT